ACGCAACCAGAGGGAAACAAAACTCTCTAGCGATTATTCTGTTTTATACCACGTGCCTTGTTTTATTAGCATACAATCACTCCACTATCTCAGTGAACCTAGCCAGCAAACTAAGGCAATTATTTCAAAGTAGCAATACTGAGTTTTACAGGCGGCAGTCGCTTTCCAATGACAAGGCTTTGACAGGAGCGGTTTGTGGACCTCAGCTTCCGCCTAGAGTCAAATTCATTTGCAGTATACTTAAATACAGGGATACAACTCTCAATTGGTTGGACTTTTTCAAATACAGAAGCCAAACAGCTTCCATGAAGGCTGGCTTGGAAGAAAAGAGAGAAGCAGCATTCCAGAACAGAACTGTTAAAGTCATTACTAGAGTTACTAGCCACTTTTAGCAAGATTTAATATAATGATATGCTGAAGCTGTTCATAATACATCTGTGGTAGGATGATGCTGAGAGTCCAAAGCTTTCCTGGGAGGGGAAAGATTATCTTTCAATTCATATGCTTTAGTCTAACTGAGACACTTCAAGGCTCAAGTCTGCCTGTAAATCTAGCACTGATTTGGCAGCCCTTCACCGAGTATGTGACTCCTACTTGATACTAGGAATTTAAAAAGTTATAAGTGGCCTGGGAGTATGTAGAGAAGAGCATGTGGGATAAAAAGAAATTTGCTTCTTAATCCATCATAAACTGAATTTCTTTTCACAGTTGTTTAGATACTGAGAACAGGACACAGATTCATTTAACTGAATTGTGATTCGACTGAAATCAGTGGGAAAAATGAGTTAATTGTTACTACATTCAGCAGAATTTATGTTTAGTAAAACTTAGTCTGGATCCAATCCATTGCCTATTGTGACCATCCTAATATAGCCACCAATTCTCCCCCTTGTCTTGGGCAAACTTTGCTTTCATTGGGAAGCAGATCGAACAAACATACAGCTTGTCAGGTAGACTTACATGTTCACAGGTAGATGGGTCAAATGTAGGACATGTTTTCTTGGTAGTGACAAGAACGTACTGGCCATCAATAAAATCACACTCATAGAAGGTGCAGTTGTTTCCTGGTGGGTAATAAGTTTCTCCCCTCTGAAAACAGACAAGAGTTTTAATGGCATTAGAAGTAAGCATGTCTTCTTTATGTCCTTAAAAGTTTTTGAATAAATCACTGAGACTAGTGTTACCCTTTGTAGCCATGATTGTTGGGGATTATGGACATCATACTCAACACATTTGGAGAGCCCCAAATTGGAAAGAGATGATCAATGGAATTATGGGTATTACTTCTAACATGTTATGATATACAAAGGGTAGAAAACTGTCCTCTGTGTAGAGGAGAATGTTCTCCCATTCTTCTGGGTTTAGACGTTTAATGCACTTTTCTATCTCCACTCAGGTCTGTTGAATAGCCATTATTAAACTATAATACCATATTGCTTTTGTTTTTTCCAAGAGCAAGTTGTCAATACCTTGACAGCTAGCATTGTGGGATTACTACCTGCAACAATATAATTTTTGTTGGATTTATTGAAACAAATATGTGATCTAATCAAGTATCCATTTAGATATGTTGAGGTGAACTTGTATTCTCAAACACTTAGGAAGGCTCCCATCAAAGACCAATAATTTGTTATGTTAGCATGTCTGAAGGGAGAACCTGTGCCATCTACAAAATATTGTATTTTAAACAATGTTATCTGGAGTGGATAGAGCAGGTACCTCTCAAGGATCTAATCCTGCAGGACTGAGAAGGATCTCCAAGTCTTTGAGATGCCTGTGTCAGTGATATTATATGTTACCCGCTAACTTGGATTTGTAGTCTAATGAGGCTGTGCTATTGATTGACTATCAGCACTGTCATTTTCACAGACCAAGAACAGACGAGATGTAACTCCTAATAAGGGTTGTTCAACCAGGTAGAATAGAAAGAGTCAGAGATAGCAAAACAGGGTGTCAAAGATAGCAAAAAAAGAGAGAGAGAGAGAAAACAGAAGACAAGAAAATAAAAGAAAAGAAAAGAATTTAAGGAGAAATATTTATTGGTTTAAGTTAAAATCTGTTCCTGTTTTTAACAATCTTGCACAAGACACATGACACTGACAATCATGAGAGATGGACAGTATCCATAAGCCGCCCAGAGACCTCTGGGTAGAGGCATGAGAGATGGACAGTATCCATAATATTTTAGCTACCTGAATAATATGTACACCATTGAGTCCTTGTTTCAACACACAAGCTGCTGCAGTGCAGTTACCACAACATTGTCCAGGTATTTCTTTGTATTCATAGCCCTGTTTGAGAAAATATAGAAGGAATTTCATAAGTTCAAGGGTATCAACTTTCAGAAGGCAAACTGGTTGTGTGGGTGAATAAACACAATTAAATAACAAAACCACGCTCCTCACCGGTGAACACATTCTGTTACAGACTTGTGACACACATTCCACCTTGTGTGAGTTGGTTTTTGGGTCTTCTTCAACAGAGCATCTGCATTCTTCACAAAGGCCTCTGGAAACAAGTGCTCCAGGCTAAAGAAATGCAACAGAGAAACTTTAGCAAATACTTCTATTTATTATAATAAATTACAAATCAGAAATGCCATAAAAGCTGAGCGATACTTTTTGTCTCTTGGATGGACAAAACACAGCTGGCTGAATTTGTTAGCTTAAAACATATAGTTTCAGTCAAGTCAAGATAGTAAAATCTCTATTCCTCAAAGTCTTTTATCAATAGAAGGCTTACTAAAAAAAACAAACTTCCACACATATTTTAAATCTCTACCGATCTGTTATAGAATGGAAATGGGATGCACTTACCTTGTAGAAGATATCATGGTCAACACAACCTGGTAATTTCTCTGTAAGAGAGAAAGGTATAATTGTGATTAAATAACACGTCTTCTCTTGAGTGGTCGAGATAGAATAAGGAGGTAAACGAACCATGAAATACCACAGAGGGAGGAGCATGCTCTAGTTTCTCATGGTTCAGGAAAGATCCTTGATAAATGTGGTCATGTGCATTACAAAATGAATTGTTCAGGTAAAATATCTCAGAGCATGCAGGGGGAGGGAAAATTTTAGACAGGCTCGTATTCTGACATTGGAAGCCTCCAAATAATTCTACCGGGTGCTGGCTAGATTTCTCACTTCTACAAATGTCGCAATGAGAAGTCGTAGCAGCATAAGCCTATCAAAAATTAACAATTTGGGAGAAAATACATTTAGAAATGGGTGTTAGAAAAGGAAAAAAAAACTGCAATTTAAAAATATATTTAGTATACATATGAGAACTCAGAGGAAGATTATTTTTTTAAAAACATCATAGATTATAGCAGAAATAGAACAGAATAGCCTGGTGATTTACACATGAGAATGTCATGGATAAGGAATAAATGAGAACAAAACAAACGAATTCCTTCATCTGAATTTCATGGGATTGGCTATGTTTTCTGCCTATGCATACGTGCATGTTTGTTTGTATGGGGTGGGGGAGACAAAACAAGAAAGAGAAGATTGATTAAATCCAATACAACCTTCTCTACTTGTGGCACAATACTTACCACAAGTTGTGTTAATGCAGCAGCCTCCTGGCAGATTTTGCTGTTTTAAGACATATCCCGTTGGGCAGACCTCAATAGATTTGGAACAATATGTAGTGTTGCACACTATGTAATATAAGGCAAAATGGGAAGAGAAAGAAGAGACCATGAATTAAATAAACAGTTCAAGATATTTTCACAGCACTTCAGTGAATACTGAAGACAGTCATGCTGCCCAGTGTTATTGTTGTGGATCTTGTGGTGATTAGATGAATGCAATTCAGTCTATACTGAAGAGGTATGTCTTTGCATGGGGAACAACAATTAGAGAGAGAGAAACTTCTTTGAATTCTTCATCTACTCTTACTTATACCAACTTTTCTTTAAGTTAGACTGATACACTTTGGTTTGCTGATCTCACTTCCTCCGCCATAGCTCTCAGTATCTCTAACTCAGTCAGGTTAGGACTAAGATTCCTATAATTCTTGGAAGGTGTGTTTCCATTATACACAATGAGTTGGATCTTCAACAGATGGAAGGGCTCCTTTGTTGTGCAGGAGGCTCCACACATGCACACATACATGCACATGCACACACGTACATGCACGCATGCACACACACACACACACACACACACAGAGAGAGAGAGAGAGAGAGAGAGAGAGAGAGAGAGAAGACACCTCCAACTATTTTAGGAGAATTTGACTTTTCCCCCACTTAGGAAGGTCCCTAGTCCTCCTTGTAGCATTGAACGAGGGGCTGGAAAGGATTGTTGTGGGGAGAGAGGTAGAACAGAGGCATCCACCACCACCAGCCCAGCTGCCTAAATCACCTAAATCTAGATCTAGCCAAATACATATTTTGTTTCAAGCAAATGAGGACATATACTTACCACAGCTTAGATGAGGACAGCATTTGTCTTCAGGTGTCATTACTGGAACAGGTACAAATCCTTCATGTGGGCAAGATGCTGGAGTAGATAATATTGGGCATTGCTTTGGTGTACACCGCACCACAAGAGAGTATTTTTCACAAGTGCACTCTTGACAATTGCTGGTCCAGGTTTCTCCAGGCTGTGAAAAACAATGGTTTTGGGTTTTTTGTTTTGTTTTGTTTTAAACCAGATTTATTTACTGTATTCCTAAATAGCCTACTGGGAGATTATACTCAAAAGAGTTATATTAAGATTGCAATCTTAGCATCTCCCATTTCTGTGCTCCTGCTGCTAATGGCTGTTAGTGGTACAATGACAGAAACCTTTGCTGTTGTCATGTACAGACACAATACAACTTCTGAGACTTACATAAATCTCAAAAATGTTTAGTTTCACAAAGAAATTGAGTTATTGTTCTCTGCCATCAAATCCATTCTAGTTTACAGCAACTCTAGCAGGGGTTTCAAGGTATATGAGATAGTTAAGGAGTGGCACTGCCAGTGCTACCTCTCCTTCCCCCATTAGTTCAGCTATGGCTGAACAGGAATTTTAACCCAGGTCACCCGAGTCCTAGTCTGACACTCTATCCACTACACTACCCTACCCTGACCTTTGAGATTACTCCTCTTAATTTCAAGTGATATTATGGTTTTTGATACTTACTGATTTGGGCATCCCGTCTGGTCCTGTACAACCTGAAATAAATTTAAGAATGGAGATATTGCACACTGATGCTATTAAAGAACCCTGGGTCTATTTTAGCTACCACAGAGGTCACTGATTTGCAGACATATCATGAAATCTAATATAGTTAACTTTGTCTTTTTGAGGCAAATGGCATTGTAATGGTGTTTGGCGATTTGGAAGTTTTGTTGAGTCCGAACTAGTTGAGGAAGGTGCCTGAAGCAGTCCATAATAAAGTAACCGAGGAAGCAATGATTAAAGTTTTAATGCAGAACTAATACTGGAAGATGTTCAGCCTGCAAGGCATTCAATCTAGAACAGATTGAATACTCTGGAAAGGCCACTGTGTACCGTACAGTATTCCCCAGGTAAAAAGAACACTTGGTAGGATGCCTTGTTTAATTTATTTATTTATTTATTTATTTTATTTATATCCCGCCTAATAAATCCTGCCACTCTGAGCAAAAGTTTCTCTGCATTTCACTGCCCCTCTCTTTCTTTTTTTAGGGGTGGGGCAAATCTTGCCCATTATTCTCAATGATTACAAAACATTCACATCTACCATTTAAAAAAAGAAATCCCACCTGGAGTCTGAGATGCATTGTTTCCCACTCAGTTCCTTATGAGAACCAAAAGCTATAAAACAGCTTATTTTAATTGTTTCATTGTGCAGAGCAGCAACTGTTGTCAAATACCCCTTCTCCATACATAATACTGCGATTGTCACTGAGGTGAAGATTGCCATGAATGAGTAACTGCTGTTCTTTTTTAATGGGAAACCCCTTGTGCTTGGGTTTCCCGGGACATGTCCATTTTGCTGCTACAGCCTTGGTTGAACTGACCTGGGCTACACCCTTATTGGCAGAATGCTCAGGAAACCCACCCACCTCTTACTGCTGTAGAGGGTCACTTTGTCTTTTTTTTTAAAAAAAAATACGTACCACACTGAGAGACACAGATATCCCTGTAGTTGCTGAAGAGTTGGGTTCCATTTGGACAGAAGCAACCTTCAGCTATTCCACTGCCATTGTGATAAATCGCACTACGATGAAAAACAGGCATAGTTTGAAGTCAGTATCCTCACAACTCAAACACCTCACCTGTCCCTTAATTCTTATCACACACACAAAAAAAAGGATAAAGGGAAAAGGGCACACACATACTTGGTTAGCAGAGTTTAGTAGGAAATGTTTTCACTTGTTGCTAAGGTAGAAGGAGTGCCCTGTGATCCTTGGGCTGGGGGCTGGTGCATTGTTCTGAAGGTGAGGGGGAGTCATTCTCCCTGTCTAGACCATGAGCTGCTACTTGATGAAAGCCACAATAATCCTATTTAATATTAAATAGTAGTGGAAGGGACAGTATGTCTTTAAAGTAGTAATACAATCATTAGTTAACCTCTAATTTACTCCATCTTTTCACAAAATAACGTTGGTTAGTTGGTTATGTGCCCATCAAGTCAGAACCAACCCTATTTTCTCAAGGTAACTGATATATTTTTACTAGTTCCACTCCTCCAGTTAGTTTCCATGGCCAAGTGAGGATTTGAACCCTGGTCTCCAGAGTCCTATTCCATCAATACATCACACCAAATACCTCATAAAGTGGTGTAAATCTGTGAAAACATGCTTTTACTATTCAGAGAAATGTGCCCCAGTGAGAGGTGATGATTAACCCAAGATCAGAGGGTATGTTTTATGGCAGTCCAGGAGTTTAAACCATTTCTCCCTGATTCATATCTGGCATACTGTCTGCTATATAACATTGGCTTCAACTCAGAGCTTAGGTACTTTCTGGGGCTACAGCTCCCCAAATTCCAAGTCTGGTTTTTATCCTTTGCCTTAACTGCTAGAGTAAAATAGATTAAATACCACCACCACCCATATCCTCTTACCTGTTATGACATGTGGGAGGGTTGAGAGGACCACATGGATCGTATATTTTGCCTTCAGGACATGTGTATGCTATAAGTGTCAAGAGAAATGAACAAACGTAAAAACTTAAAAATATATTTTCTTATATTATGCATATGCAGCTAAATCTGTGTATACTAAACACATTCTCCTTTCCTCTACATATGCTCACTCATTTAAATTTACTGAAATTGTAAGGGAGGGAAAGTAAGAGAAAGCAAACAGAAATAAGCACAATCAACAACAACCTTGTGCTAGATGGCAATCACAGGAAAAAGTGTTCAGTGAAACACCCTGTAATTGTACATGCCTCTTGGTCATATAATAATTTTTATTATCCACATTGGTGTGCTAATTTTAATGGGCCAACCACAAAGGCAGAAAAATGGGTGCAAGCTTTCGAGATCTCTAGATCAGGCAAGCTTCTTACAGAAACCTGCTTGGAGGAGATGACTGGTTGGTGGGAGGATGAAGTGAGACATTGGGAAGAGAGCAGGGAAGAGAGCAAAAGAACACCCTGCTTTCCTGTTGAAATTAGGTGTCTGCAAGATATCCTGAATGACAGCGGAGAGCAGAAAACATAAAAAGGCTTGGTTTTCCCCCTTTTTGCAAATAGAAAATCAGCTGTGAAGTCATCATTGTCTCCACTCTGCACAATGGGTTCAATCTCCGTTCTCAGTGGAAAATGAAGAGGAAAGACCTAGACTTTTATTTCAAAAACTGGAGATAATTTAAGATGCTGGCCTAGAATTAAAACAAAAAAATAAACACTGAATAGAAAACAAATTAGGCAGCTTTTCTAGTGACTGAAAGGGATGAAATTTTGGTAAATAAAACCCCAGTTTTATTTTGTGTAGACCCTGCTGTTTTAGCTAAACCTAGTATTGTCCTTTTTGTTAGGATGGGGGGGAGGCTTTTCTTTTGGACTAATATGGATCTTGGAGTTTTCCTATTGCCATTGCAGCTGCATTTGGTTTCACTTTTTACTAAGCATGCTTCCTGTGAATGGGGACACTTGATGGATCCTTGTAATTATTGATGGGAATGCTATCTCATAGCCAAATACATCAGAAACCACATCTAGGCTCTGGATAGCATTTATAAGGTTAACACCCTTCATATTGCCACCAGTAAACAATGAAATGTGTCCTCTCTGTACTTTCCAAGTTTGATCCATTACTGTGACATAGCAGCATTTAAAGAATTCCCATATAATTTATAAGTGGATTGTGCCATTAGTTAGACACTCCAGAACTTACGGCATTGACCCTTGGTCTTTGACCTCCAATCAAGACAAATGCCTCTAGAGGCACAAAGAGAGGCATATATCTCCAATCCGGAACACTGCATGGTGGTATTTGTCATGTGGCAAGCATCAAAGAGACACCCTTTGTGGAAAGGTTCAGGGGGTATGACGTCATGGCAATCTATGAAGATGCTGTAAAGGTACCAGAAATGCTTGACATGAAAATACATTTAAAACAAAACAAAACAAAACTAATAGTACAACTGTAATCTCATTTTATGGGAATTTTCGAGGCCCATAGATTATTTTTAAGAGAGAAAAGAATGGCTGGGAATCTGAAATTCCCAGAACTTAAATGTGTATTGAGATTGTATCAAAGAGTACTAGGGCAAAAGCCAGCTTTTACTCATTTAAAATGTAGGCGTCTGAAAATTGTGTCTTCACAGACTATGGTACAGAATTGTGGGCTTTATTTAGCATTGTCCCTCTGTTCTCAGAAGGCTCTTTAACTCAGCTGAGATCTCCATGAAAAGAAGGAGCAGAAGGTGAGTTTTCCTAATAAACCCTTCCCTGATTACCCTTTGCACCCTCCCAATCTCTTCCGGAGGAAAGAAATAACTCAGGAGGTGGCATCTCCATGCAGCCTTTTCCCATCCCCACTGTCCTGCATTGAAGCTGCTTCTGGAGAAAATTCTTATAAGGACATACAACCCAGCATTGTCCCCAAGAATAAAATATACCTAAACACATAGCAGAAGTGCTTCTTTCTCCAGGAAATGTATATATGTTTTTAATGTGCAATACAAATGTGTTTGTCGTGTCTCTTTTGCTGCCTATATTATGGTTATATAACGTTTCTAAAAACCCAATTTCTAATAACAGTGGGGATGTTGTAATATTGTGGTCTTTTGATTTTTCATGGTTTGTTCCTGGGTATATGCTTGTGGGCTTGATGTGAAGTCACATCTCACTCCAGACATTGGGCCTTTGCTGCTGGAGGTAAGAGTGTTTAGATTATCCACTGGATTTATATTTCAAATAGTTGTACTTCTTAATGCAATCTAGTACTATTTATGCCTGATCAAAACCCATTTTAGCAGGGCTTAACCTAAGAAAATGTACATAAAACTGAAACTTTAAAGTGCCCAATGTTGAAAACAAAGGACAAGATCCGTAGCTGAGGCTTATGTGACTTCAGTACTTCTTTGAAGAATATCCCCCTCTCACTGAATTCCCCTGCATGACGATAAACCCTATTCATTAAAGAGAAAATCACACACTTGTCTTCCTCTTTTATAGGCTACTGTAATTATTATATTTTCCATCTGGGAAAAAGTAAATTGAGGCTAGAAAAGCAAATCTCATCTTACTCGCTTAAGATCAGATCGCAGAGAGTGTTTGGAGGACAGGTTGGTGGTGGGCCTGTTGTGGGTCCAGGAGTAGGTGGTGGTCCAAAGCAGTGGTCTCTCTTGTCCTCTGGGACTCTCCAGTAGGGAGCCATGCGGGAACAGCTGGTTATTTTGCCATCTGGTAAGCGACAATCATCTTTTCTATCATTGGTGCAGGTACCTGAATGGACGGGAAAAACATGATCAGACAAGAAAGCTAATTTCACATTCAGGTCAAATGATACGCTAAAATTGCAGAAATTTGAAGGATTCTTGACAGTTTTATGAAGAGCTCACTAATTAAATATTCTCTTTTCTTTAAAAGTACATTTCTGGTGTTGTTCTAATCTTATATCAGTATCCAGAATATTGAATAATGAAACACTGATATAATTTTGAGAGCGCTATAACAAAAAGGGCAAAAGACAGTGGCACTTCTAAAAAAAAAAAAACCAAGCAAACAAATGAAACAAAGCAAAACAAAAGGAAATGAAAGAAAAACCAACCAACCAACCAACCAACCAACCAACCAACCAACCAACCAACCAACCAACCAACCAACCAACCAACCAACCAACCAACTAACCAACAATTGCAAAATAGAAACAATTGTTTGGAAAAGATTGTTAAACTGGTAATTGACTACAAATCTAACTTTCTTACCACATTGTCCTTCGGTATTATTCCCAAATTTGTCATATGGAAGTTTTATTGAGAAGATTAAACCACTGAACATCATAGTAGCCCCAATCTTTGGAATCTCAACCAGCATATTGACTCCCACCATGGAGATAAAAATGCCATTTTTGTGGAATCCTGGGTTCACAATCTTATTGTTGAAGTAGATCTGCAAATGAGATTGATTTTTACATCTGTGAGGAACTTTAACTTTTACTGTAAAAGTAATATATTTACCCCCTTTGCACAAGTTTATTTTATACATTTAGTGTTTTTGTTCATTAATTTTCTTTCCTCTCTTTTCACTACAATCATACTCAAAGCGGTCAACAATAAAATACAAAGAAAATAAAAAAGTCATCATTAAAATGAAAATGAAAGCATAACAAGTAAAATTTCATATTACATCATAAAAATCTATTAATAAGAAAGAAATATCAGTATTCACCTGTTTAAAAACTATTCTAGCGGCAAGCTAGCATGAATGCCAGCAGTCTTGTCAGAATAAAAATGTATATACTTGATGTTACTGAAACAGCATTGATGGACCTTGTCTTCCTCTGTTACGAAGGAACACAACCTGAGAGCAGCCATCTCTTGTGTTCCTACTAAGTATCCTTTGAAGGGTCAAATTGGATTATATAGCACATTTTGAGAAGTGCTCCTCAAATGGTGAAAGATGTCTGTCATAGCATGACTTTTCTTATCTACCTGTCTTATATTTGATGTGTTTCTTTGCATGCATGCATGCATACATGCATGCATGCATGCATGCATGCATGCATACATACATACATACATACATACATACATACATACATACATACATACATACATACTTTACTGTTTTGTAGCCAATCAGGCTGTACATAAGAACATAGATTAAACTAGTCTTGAAAACAGTATTTGAAATCTAATGTAATGCACATAAACAAGCAGAAGCATAATACAATAACATCGATAAAATAAAAAATAAGCATTCTCCAAAAAATTAACAAGATGTGAAATTAACTTGGAGAATTTGTGAAGCAGGCAGTAAGTTCTGTCTCTCCATGACTCGTTTAAATAATTTTGCAGTCCTATAGGATATATAGTAGTCTCTGCCAACTAGCAGGAATAAAACTACACATAAAGAGGAAATGTTCTAGATCTCAGTTGTTAAAGAGTTTAAGGTATTGCTCCCTCAGATCTGCATACAGAAGATATTCTGTTAGAAAATGTTGCCTCTAACTCTCTCAGGACAGAGGAAGGAACCCAGAAGCCCCTAGAGCTCAAAAGAAATCCTTCTGCTTGGTTTTGTGCAAATTTTTTTCTTTAATGCCCTGTACCACAGACCACCTATTAAGTAGAGTCTCACATTCCCGGGAGGAACATTTGGGGAGCTGGTTGTGAGCATTGCTAAGCACACAGGATATGAAGCCTCCACCTACTCCATCCAGATCTGTGGATACAGTCTATTGTATTTTCTTCAAATAAGCCCAGTCTTATAAAGATCTCTTCTCTGCTAAGTGTCATGGAGTTGGGGAACCATTGGTCCTTCAGAAGGCCTTCCATCCTCAGAAGCCCCAGTTTGCAAGGCCAACAGCAAGGATTTATGGAAGGTGGGCCAAAGGTTCTCTAAGCTGAAATGTGGGAATGAAGGGTAAGAAAGTACTTAAGAGATTTTGCACAATATTTACCTTGTTGGCTTCTACTCCATTAAAGTTTTTGCGGGTTAGTACTACGACTGAAGAATTGTACTCCACAATGATAGACTGAGGACAGGAAAGACCGTCTTCTGCATCACAGAAGTAATTATCTATTAGAACTCTGAAGTTGTCATATTTAGGTATGATCTGCTGCACCAGCACGTAAGTGCAGTTGTCCAAGAAGGTGTAATACGTTCCATCAAATGTGATGTAGTGAGGATCACCCCAGCCGCTACAGACACCTGAAAAATGAGGGGAGTGGAAGTCAGTGATGGGGGGTACCAACTAGCCTTTAACAAATTTTTTTAACAATGATGTGAATCACGTGGATTGCTGAATAGCTCAGTGGCTTCGGTCTCTGGCTGTGAAGCCAGAGGTTGGGAGTTCGGTTCCCCACTTGTCTGGGACAGGATTTGATGATAGGATCCCTTCCAGCTCTGCATTTCTAGGGTCCAAAGATAAGCATTCTTTTGATACTCCCTCCCCCTGCAACCTATGACCTATGATAAAAAAAAATATGACCTTACTGCCATAAGACTCACTTTAGGGATTCATTTGCACTTACATTCACATTGATACTGGTAACAACAACCATCTTCACTGAAGACTTTTATTGGTGGGTATCCATTTGCACATTCAATGTGCCGCACTTCTGGACATTTCACATGGCTTACAGCAATTTTGTTGTTTCCTTCACAAGTTGAATTGACGCAGTTTGCTATCCGTGTCTCACCCACCTGGAAAGAGGAAGTCATGTCACTAGTGAAGCATTCAATTAGGCCTGGGTAACTATGCACATCTGTGTCCCATTAAAGTGAGACAAATATTTATTGTGTGTGAAGGAAAGAGGTTCATATTTCGTCTTCCTTTTCAGAAGCACATGTGTTGGTCTTGTTCTTTTGATTTGTATCCTCTTCTCAAGAATACAAGCAAGGGGCACAAGACAACCTAGTTATTCCATTACACTCCTGTATTACACATTTAAAATCCCAAAATCACCTCTGAATTTTCCTATCTGCAGAATGTAGCTTCTTAAAATAGCCATCTTACTTTGTCTGGCTTACATACATATGCAGGTTTGTAGTCAATTACACCTACTCTGGCCCTTTTCAAGGATGGCTATCCATTTACAGTGTTTCTGAGAAGAGATATAGCCATATAATATGGTGCTTTATTTAATGTGGGAACCTGAAGTGACAATCAAATATTAATGTAAGAAACAAAATTGTCAGCCATTCTAATTTTGAAAAGCTTTTGAAGAGTACTTGTCAAATAGCTGATGAGGTTGAATGGCCAGCATATTGCATACCTACCACAGGAACGTACTGAGAAATGTTTGTATTGAAACAAAACTACCGACAGACGATGTAGGAGCTTCTCCTTAACAATGGGAGAGACTACTAACTAGGTAAAAAAATAACTTAAAAAAAGAAAAGTAATTACCTTGAACAGAAAAGTTTTTTAAAAGCAAAAGACAGGTAAGACCTCTTGCTGAAAGAGAACTTTACAAATTATTTTTTAAAAAATGAAAGGTCCTGGTGGCCACTAACGTAGGGAGAAGCAAAAATGAAGAGAACTGAGTCAGGGAAAAGAGCTGACATAAAGAAAAGAGTTTTTAAAAAACTTCAATGATAAGAGAGACAGTCATCATTGCCCCACTACCCTACTATTCAGTAACTCTATAGGTTGCTGGGCACGTAGCCTGTCAAGTTCTTCCATACAATAATGTGGAGGAGAACTTAGCCTGTTTCCTCAAATTGTGTCACTGAGGTTATACCACCATCTAATATACTACTCCACCAATAACATTATGATGATGAGTACCCTGCCCTTGGAGGTGGCTGCATGCTCATAAGCCATAACTTTATGAATTAATTAACACCCAGTAGTTGAAAAGAAGATGAAAAAGAAAATGGTACCTTCATGGGTGGTTTATTATCAGGACAGCCAACTATGGCGGTAGTGGGAGTTGTGGTTTGTACTGTTGGAGTTGGTTTCGGTGTTGTTAATGGGCATGGCCCTTTGGATCTCTCAACAGTACACTGCTTGCCACAAACGGCATGGTAAATACAACCATCACTATCTGTTTTGTTGTAAATAGTTGAACCTGCAAAAACACACACAAAATGATAAGAGAAGTGAAGTCCTATGTACATTGCAAGGTAAGTATTCAACATCTGGGATTACATTTCAGAAGGATATAGTCCAATTGCCTGAAAAGAGGCAGATAGAGATTTTAAATTCGGCAGAACTATTCAATTCAATAAAGAACAACTTCATTACATACCAGGCTTAACTAGAAGCTCTCCAATTTTGCAGAAACATGGAGTTGTGGCGGTTGGTGTTATTTCTTGTGTAGTTATTGGTGCAGTAGTACTAATTGCAACAGACGTGGTAACAGGAACTGTAGTGGCTGTTGTAGCAGTAGTAGGGAGAGGTGGGGCAGGAGTAGTTATGCACTCTGGATTTGCTGTACAACACAACACCCTGATCTCATAGTTCAAGCACTGCTTAGATTTCCCAGTTTGGTCCGCATTGTGGCACACCAGTCCAGATTTGACATCACAACTGACCACTTGACCCAATTGGTCAATGCTTAAATCGGGGTGACTTTCAGCCCTACACTGAATATTTTCGGGTTTGCTGCAGATTTTGCCTCCTGCCGCTTCAATCTTGTTATAGGTTTCAATGTCTCCACCGCTAGGTCCAGAAGTGGGGTAGTCAACATCAAACCACTGCGACCACTGGCAGGTGATGGGTGCACATGTTGTTGTTGTTGGTACCGTGGTTGTCCCTTGTGTTGTAGTTGCCAGTGGGGTAGTAGTGGGCAAAGGAGTTGTGCTCAGTCTTGGAGTTGTGGTGCTGATGGTAGTAGATGTTGTGGCAGCCCTGCTCTCTCGGGTGGTGGCACTGGTGGTGGTGGCAGCTGTTGTCTTTGTTGTGGTGGATTCTGCTGTTGTTGTCACTGGCTTGGTTTCCACTGTGGTGGAGGTGGTTGGGACTGG